AAGATATATATATATAAGCCCAAACTGCCAATAGAAATACTAAACTAACAATGGCATTCATAAAGTATGCCGATTTCAACCAAAATATCTACGAATTTCTGATAGACATGGTATCCTGGTGCCCGCAACTGGAAATATTACCTCTTTCTTCGTTTCTTGGATGACTTTCGAGATCTCGACGGGGATCGAGACCGAGACTGTGAGCCCGACCTCGAGGAACCAGAACTGGAATCGGACGACGACGAAGATGACGACGACGAACTGCGGGAACTCGCAGAACTTGAACTGCTGCTACTGGATGTGGAACGTCGACGACGTTTTCTGGACCTGGGCACGCCACATTCATATTACTCATTATAACAGCAAACTTTATCGCCATAAAGTATAGAAAAGGAATTTACCACACATGTAACAAGCGGGTGTCAGCATGTCTTTCTTGAGGGTCATACTAATCCATTTACAACTCCCTCAATTTTAGATTTAATACAATATAGTAATTCCTAAACGGGGGGCAAACCAGCAAATCTGTAGCTAAGAATTTGCAAGACGGGCACGGCAAACTGACGTTACACTGTACGTGCATAAACATTCTTTCTGAAAGTTCATGTACATTTTACTAATACCAACAGAAACATCACCTACTTAATACCTTCATTTATTTTCAAATTAAAATTTCCGTACTAAGTCAAGGTCCCCCCAAACTTCACAGCAGTAAGATTTCACTGTACTAACCTTATCTTACAGCTTAAAACTGAAGGGACGAAGAAGAAAAAGAGCTGCAGCAGCAGCATGCTGCGTAACATACATCAAGTCTGCAAAAAACTTATACATATAAATTAAAGCTAAAGACAAATATTTGTGCGTACTTCCTGTCCTTCTTCTTCTTAGATTTTGATCTGTCCTTCTCCTTTTCTTTCTTCTCATCCTCTTCTTCACCTTTAAGTAACTGTTTCAACGTCTCCTTCACTTCCAGAGTCTTAGAAGATGTCAAACCAGGAATTGTGACATCCGAATCAGACAACTTGCTACTGTTCAGAATCTTCGTCTTGAGGAATTCAATGGAGTTCTGAGCTTCTTCGTGAAATGGAATAAGAGCCAGGCAATTTTCATACGACTTCAAAGCTTCCTCAAATTTGTTCTCATCCTCAAAACTGGAAAACAACGGACGACAATTCTTTAACGAGACAGAAAATAATACACGCGTCATAAATTCAATTCAAGGCACATAAGACAGTTAGTAAAAGGGGATGTGAAGTTTGCGCAATCACAAACTAAAGCACATTTTCCATTTTAAAAATCATCCACTGAATAATTTTCTCACACACAGGCAGTTAAGAACATTTAAGACGAGTAATTATTAAACAGAGTTTAAAAGTTGCAGAGGATATAACCATATTTGTATCTTAACAGTAAATTTTAACAAATTTCATAGTAGGATCTTCACTAAAAAGTTAACGATCACTTAATTCAGCAAGAATGTCATAGCAACAAAGAATTATGGCATCTACAAGTATCAATAACTTTTAAAATTACCACCTGAACATAGGCATCACTGATATAAGAACTCTTGCGTCAATCGTGAAAGTAGTAGCTGAAGACTCTAAATAAACAAAATATTCTGCAGACAAAATTTCTTCTAAAAATAAGATATTCACCTCCTTCCCAAAGCAACCAGAGTTTCTCCCATGTACTTGCGAGCATTTTGATGGTTTTGATTCAGTTTTAGTGCCGTCTCGAAATCCTCGATAGCCTTCTGAAAACTACCGCTGTTTGCGTATCTAAAACAAGAGATATGATCGGGGTTAGTTTTCGGGATGTAAGTTATACGGCAAATAACGCGGCAAATAAAAGAAACACTCACAATGCCCCACGTGCCACCAAGCCTTCCACGTTGCGCGGATCAATGTTCAATGCCTTATTTAGGCACTGAAAAGCTTCAGAATGTCTTCCTGACTTGAAGTGCTCAATGCCTTCTGCGACACTTCTGAAGGCCCACTTACTGGCTTGAACCTGACGAAGCTCCAGTGCGTATTCCTGTTCTGGGAATCGTCCTCTGAAATAGTTCAACAAAATTTGTTTAATCTGTACTCAAAGATGTCAAATTCTATCAAGTTACCATTACTGAAAACAATTTTTATATGAATTCTCTACGTTTTACAACGTGAATGTTTCAAGCTAGAAACATTAAACTACATTCCACAGCAAACAAAATTACACAAATTCAAGACAAATTATGTCACCTTGTAGACTTTTACTACATGTTAACATGTTTAGAACAATTTCTTTTTGTAAAAGAATTCTTAAACAGAAAAATTTAGCATGCAATATTGGCCATTTTGCCAAGCGCTTTCATAAGACGACCTTTACCTGAGACCAGTCATGTATGAGAAATTACTGTTCCCCAGTCCCATCTGGTTTGCCAAGTAGTTCATGTTGTTAGGATTGAAGAACCCAAGACTCTTCTCCAAAACTTTATCGAAAGTTTCACCTTTCAAGTCCTGCATTTTCCTACACACAACAGGGGAAAAATTATTTTTTACAAAACGAACACCGAATGAAACAAGCTTTCAGAACTTCAAAGTCAGTCAAACAAGAAAGTAACTAAATAAAATTATGCAGCTCTACGATTGTCAATTACAGGAAACCTTAAATTGCCATGTCTCCAATCTTGACGCTGAATATTATTCTTCATGTTGCTGGTATATTCAATGATAAAAAAAAACTTTTCAAATATTACAACAAATTCTCCATAAATTACAACCAACACTTTCCCCTGAAACTATTAATGGCACATCAATTAAAACACATTTTAAAGATAAACCAGCCTACGTACATACCTTCGACCTTACTAAAAACATAGGTACATAGTTGCCTGCTGAGCTTCTTACGATAAAATGTTTTATTTCCCATTGTAAGGTGCAAAAGAAACTTCCAATTTCATGTAATGTTTTCTCACTAAGCAGCATGTTTACTGACGTACAATGGTTTCCAGAGAGACACCAATCTATTGTGAAATATAATCACAAATGGTAGTCCCCAAATAACTCTGCATTTCTTCCATCCAACATTAAACAGCGACTTATTCTCTTCTTAAGAATTATCTTCTCTTCATTCATTGGATATATATACACATACACACACGTTCATCTCAACGTTTCTTTCATACGTCACCTTCTGCTGAAGATACTAAATAACAGTTGCCACTGTGGGAAGACGATTTAATAACAATTAGTAAGTTGTTTTCTTATCTGCGTCATTAATAGTTTCATTGGGGACAGAGATACACCAGTTGAAAAAAAAAAACATTCTGCATACGGCAACGTACGATATAATATGCAGTTCGCCTTCTCGTTCCAAAAATAAAAAATAAAAAAATGAATGTTTGCGACACGCATTCATCTAATGTCACGTGAAACGTACCGAGCGAAATTACAATCGACTTCAGTCGACAACCGCGGCATAAAATTTTAGTTAAATTCCTAATTATTATCTGACAGAATACCCATAGCAACATGAATTTTATATTTAATAATATTTTATACACTGCATGTTTATCATCACAATGTTAGAACCAAATGTACAGACAACATGAAAAGTTTGTAGTATATCAAAAAGACAGTAAATTAAAATCTTAAAAACGGGTCACGGACCTAGGACATGAGCATAACCATTAAATATCCATGAATGTGAAAATGACTTAAATGTTAAAGAAGTGAATATAATCACACCTCAACCAATCAACCAACAAAATACCTGGATCTCACCTGCCATTCTGTTGGTTATAAAGCTGTTATGTTACTGTACTGGATTTTAAAAGCACACAAGTCATATGTCCACCATAGCTCTCATCATAACAACATTCTCTATGTTTCAGTACAGCTGGATTACATGAAATGACATGATTGATGCTGATTTTCGGCAAGTTCCTGCGTTGTGCAATGCTGAAAAGGAAACCCTAAATCCAAATGAAGCCTTTCCTCAGTGCCATTATCAGATGGTGTCTCTACTGGAATGTGCCTTGGTTTTGCTTTTTCCAACAAAACAGAGTATACTGGCCACATGTATGCGATCAACTGCACGATTTGTATCTCATTTGATTGATTTGCTTTGTATTGTTTATACATGCTGTAATGTCAAATAAGAAGACATTAATATTAAAACTTAACACTGTGTACCTGTGCAATATAGTTGTTATACAACACAAACATTTCACATAACTTCTTTTTTGATGGATATTTTAATAACTGCAATCTTAAAGACTACTTGAAAAGTTTGCACAACTTACTTTCTGTGGACGATGACAAAAGCAGGAAAATTTAAACTGCAGTTCAATTTACAATTCAATATGATAGATATTAGATTACTTCTCACTCCAAACTTCAGCTATTCTCATACGTACACCAATTTACCCCTCATGGAATTGTTGGATTTCTCTCCATTTTTATGGATACCAGCTTCAGTATTACAGAATCCTAAGGGCACGGCACACCTTTAAAATTCCGAAACCTCCGTGATCTCGTAACAATAAGTTAGTATGCATGCATGTAGATCAACACTACTGATTGAATTATTATATTTCATAAGATGGCTCAGAAGCCGAATCACTACAGTTATGACTTACGGCAGATGGATTACCAATGTTATTCAATTCAGCTGCTGTTAATTGACAAAGGTCTAAAATAAAAAAATCTTACTGTAAAATATCCAATTTAGTACCAAAACTGTTCCCCAGAAATACAGGTGGAATTTCAAGAATATCAACTGAATGACGGAGAGAATAAAGAATACTTCAAAATATAACACGAAACAAAAACGAAATGCTAAATCTCATTCTTAAACAGTATTAAATTCTTCACAGGACCAAAGTATAACGCAAAACAAAATTACTTTGGTTACTAAATTTCAAAGCCTACGCCCGAGCTCGGCAGTTACTCAAAATAATCATACAAACATGTAAAAAATTGTTTAATTATTCATTCCTTTCTATATTTCAGGAATTTATCAAAATATGGTTGCATTTAAAGTTCAGAAATACCTTCCTCATGTCCTGCTGTGAATACATATTCGATATTGAATAGCGAAAAAAGAATAAAAAAAAATCTAACAAAATTTTTAAAAACTACACACAACTCACATTCAGATAGCATAAGAATAAAGATAACGAGTGTGGCCAATCATTTACATTGGACATGTCCAGAACTGTTCATCTAGGAGTAAAAATAAAGAATAAAAAAAATATTTTTTTAAAAAAAGCATTACAATTCTCCCTGTCCAACTATTTAGCTACGCTTTGCCGAACTATTTGGAACCCTCACCTAGCAATACACCGAGCCTTAAGAAAAGTAAAGTCTGTAGATTGCATAACATGAATCTCATAATGAAATATCTACAGAACCCAATCTTTATCTTAAAAGAAGGAAATATGAAGATGACTCTCTGGGCTCCTTACCCGCTGTCCTACGTGAGCGATTAAATGCGAGCAGCGCAAGTTGCGAGGGTGAAGCAGAAATATCAAACTGGCCATTTGTGTGGCGGTCATAGGTTCCAGCGAAGTGGTCAGGAGAGGGAAGCGGCCAAAGTACGAGATCAAATATTCTGATATTTTCGCGCGAGTCGCTGCGCTGGCCAGTAAGGCACATGCGCAAGAAAGCTCTGACCGTGCAGTACACGGAAGGCGCATGTGCAGGAAGGCCGTGTGCTTCTATCGCCGTCTCTCACGTAGGACACAACAAGCGATTCCCCACTTCATATGACACCCCATGCTGCTTATGCAGCTCAGGTAGCTCGCTTGTTATCGCTTACGTAGGACATTGCCTTAGTAAAACACACACTGAACAGGAAAAATGTAGAGTGAAGAGAGGAAGGCATAACTGGCAGAGAATGGCCCAGACATACTCCTAAAAAACAGACTGCCAAATTAAAGCCAGAATGTCCACATACTCTGCAAGTCTCTTCCACCCATTTCAGTATTCATAAATACAAAACACTCTTCATCACTCGAGTCCAACAAACCTTGTTCTTACAATCGATCGGGAAACCTAGATTTTTCAGCCACTTACTATTAGCAATCCCCTCTTTTGTAATGTCTAGACCTCGTGTACTATAAGTCCCATACTCGACTACATTAAAATTATGGACGTCACTTGACACTGACACACAAACACAATATATCAGATGAAATTATTCAATACCAATTACCTTATACCATAAAATTACTCTTATGTGTTTTCAAGTAGAGAAAAACCATGACTCCATCCGCTATATAACATTTGGGAAAATGTTTTTGCTTGTTATTAAAAATAAATACATAATCACAGTAATTATGCGATGCAAGTTAAACAAATGCATTATTTAAGACTAATTTTACCTGTTATTTAAACATTTTGATAACACACGGTTATAATTTATAATATATAAAAACCTGGAATACAAATAAATTTAATATACAAAATTTAATTACATACCTGAAATTTAAAAATTTATAAACTAGTAGAGTTTGATGATGATAAAAATTGCTCCAATATCATTATGGAATATTGTTATCAACTGACATCATGAACTATAATGAAAGTAACATCACACAACCCACAGTTGGAAAAACATTTTGAATTCGGAGAAGGTTCCTTATAATTTGACCAATTAGTGAAAATGAATGGGATCTTTCCCCTTTAAGAGGAAGAAATCTACGGCAGTTCAATATAGGGCCTAAATCCAAAACACAGCTGCAATACTGAAGCTTTCTTATTGCAAAATTTAAAAATCAAAATCTACACATTTTACAATTTGTATAATTAGCACAGCCACACTAAATGTAAAAACTTACCGAGGATAGATTCTTGGTTTTGACATGAAGTAAAACTCATAAAAGTGTGAAATTTTATAATCTATGACACCAAACCAGAGTATTGTACTCACAATACCTTTGATTCAGAAATTTAACGATCAGTCTTTGTTAAATGTAATTTATAATACAGACGCTCTCTTCTAAATCCTGACGTAGAAACTTATGAACTGCTTTTAGAAAACCAAAATTCTTAATGCCAAGTACTTTATTTTATTTTTGAGGGACTGAAACTGCATTTAATCATTGTGGCTCATTAAGTCAAACCAGTTCCATATAGTAATACGAGTACCCATGACCAAACTCAGCTCTACAGTGCTTACAATAACAACAATCTTGTGTATACTGTGCCGAGCACAAATTATGCAGAACACCTTAAAAATATAAGTGTCTGAACACTAAATTTCATTTATTGTGTACATAAGTGCAATATAAAGCACTAAAGCATGCACAATTATATGCACAAAACACATGCTCATTTAAACACAAGGTACTTGTAGGTTATCGGGACACATCGCTTTAAAAATAGGTAAGGTTAGGTTATTGTGTGTGAATAAATGACATATACTTGAAAGTTATTATATTTTATTTAAATAAATGACAAATTATTATATTTTATTTGGATATGCACGAGATGTTAATTGTTGTTACAACCCGTCACCGGAGGCCAAAATTCGCTTACAGATTTTAGAATCATTTTAAATATATCACCGTTATCTTTTGTACGCCGCCACATAAACTCGGCTAAATATGAATCCAGATGATGTCGGGCCGTGCCTCTCTCTTTTCTATTCCGCCATTTAATGATCTCCATAGTCTTTCTATTGTTTGGGTGTTTGCACCGGATTCCGGATCAACAACAGCCGAGTATAACGATACACGTGCGCAGTTTTCCGTGCCACTCCAACTCCAGATATATGACTCCCCCGTTTTGTGTCCCGACAACCCACAAGTACCAAACACAATGCACAATATACACAAGTATAAATAACATACTCAGCTAAGAGAAAAATAAAACAGTGACAAAGGTAAGCATAATGTACCGTCAGATTTTAAAATAACTCGCCCACCACCAAAAACAAAAATATAATAAACTTATTGTGAAAGCTAAAACGGACCAACTCACTTGTACACTTCTGGGAAATCATCACTGTGGATGCGGCCGAGTCGCGAGGAGTATTCCGAGTTAGGCGGCAGTGTCACGCCCTTCATTCCACACACCAGCTTCTCAGTATCAGAGTTCACTTCCAGCACTTCGCAGCACACTGTATCATTCATCAGGTAGGTACAGTTCACAGATTTCTTGTCTGAAGCTGGGATTACGTTGGATGTGGGACAGAATGCCTGAATGCCAAACATAACAACGCTTTCACAACTCAAGATCGATGATTTTCATTCTTGGCCACAAAAATATTGTAAAACAGAAGTTTTTAAAATTTCAACGCATCCATTAACATCCACGGATCCTAACCCAGCCATGTCCTCAATAAACAGAACTTTTGAATAATATATTACAAATTTGTGATTCTTACATATAAATAAGATACAGAGTGACACATGAAATTATCGTTTATTTAAATTTTAAACATACTGTGATGTACAAAGCAAAGCTTTCTGGCGAGTGAAGTTTACGAGAGCCTCTCGAGCTACGAGCGCCAGAGCTTTCATCAACATTCAGTGATTATAACATAATGGTATGAATCTCCATATGTGCACAAGCACATGGAGATTTATCCTCAATGGAGTACATGTACATTGTGGTCACAGATTTCATGTACAGCCTCCAAAAGACAAATGTGCATGCTCGAGATCATCCCGACTAGATAGCACGTCCTCTGGAATCTCTTAATACAGTTGAGCTACTAAGATCCTGAATTGTTTTAACAAGGCTAGATTCTTGGGAACAGTTTTCCCTCCATAAATACCTAAATAAAGGTCATAGGAATTAACGTCAGGGATGCTGGGTGGATATATCTATCAACAAGCATGGCAAATAAGGCGCAGACCACAAAAACACGTTGCCCAAAGGTAACACAGCAGAAGTCCTAGATGTTTGTTGTGCACAGCACAATTCTGCACAAACCATTACGAACCACCAACAAAGTGAGGCAGAAACTGTTTTGCAACACGCTCACAGTTTAGTCAAACAGCATGATTTAACCGTGGTTTTATATAGCAACCCAACCTGCAACATTTGGAATCTCAACACAGCAAAATAGTATTCACATACCCCACTGAAACATCCACGAAACAGCGTACAGTTCCATAAGATTCAAACAACTCCATAACAAAATTTGTCCTTCACAGTTAACAGAAATGGGGCAACCAACACGAATTCCTCCCCACTTTCAACTGGAAGGCTGCTGAAGCATAAGATTTAAGGCACTATAATATCAGAACTCATACCTTGACATTTATATCTGATACACACTTTGCCCCTTCACCATCTGTGCACAACACCTTCAACATCATCCCCGAGACAGACTTGCTGATTATAGAGCCGATGATAATATCACCCTTCTTCAATGTCTGCAACACAGAAAAGCAACATAACGTAGTTCTATACATTTAATCTTGTAATTCATTCAATCGTATTTCTTGAAGAACAGACCTCAGAAGCAGAAACACTGCGCTTATATAGTACCTTAACATTCACAGCAGGAAGTAAAGATGGAGTTAACTGGCTAATAGCTTCAAGTTTCATGTCCAACTTACGTTTAGGTTTGTATGTTAACATTCTATGCACACAAGAGCATGACAATTACTGAACATGTCAGATATAACGACAAACTGAATTTTGTTAATGTAAATGTAATATTGCTACTAACAAGATAAGTTACTTGATTTAATATACTGCATTTAACCTCGGTGATATAAGAGAAACAAATAAAACTGGCCGAATGCTCATGAACAGTGTATTTTCTTAGCACCTGAATACGACACGACCCTTGCTTTGCCATGTACTTCCAAATTTTTTATTTCAATTTTCATTGGCAGTTGCTACACATAAATATAGTTTACTGTTCTAGACGAGATATGACGTGAGTTACGAAGCTGTCAACAAACGAATCCTATTACCAGATTATTCACAAAGCTTCTCTAAATTATGCCAGCATATCATTATACTCGATGTGAACGACCCCTTTACTAGACCTCCTCCAAGTGATAGCGCATCTATATGTAGGATCTGGAAAGTAATGACACCGGTGACCCATCCACTGTCAAGGACATCAGTGACTCATAGTCATATTACACTGTGGCAGCAACCCAACAGTTAGCACGAGAAGAGAGAAATGCCAAAGCTGCTATCTTACATATCAAAGAAAAAGGGGGAAAGAGGCCTATTTATGTAAGAACTGAGGTTTTCACAGCGGTGAGTATGAAGATTTCTGTCTTCTGGGTTGTTCAGATGAATCACCCTCATGATGGAGACAGTATGACCTCTGAAACGTTGGTTAACATCGACCAGACTACACAGCGCAACAACCCAGAAGACGGAAATCTTCATACTCATCGCCCTGATGACGGAGGCAGTATGACCTCTGAAACGTTGGTAAAGATTTACCAGACTACACAGCGCAACAACCCAGAAGACAGAAATCTTCAGGCCTATTTATGTTTCAGAGAAGGACAAACTATCGCAAAAATGTGTTACTCATATACGACACTACTCTGAGAACAAACATGTCAACAGTTCTTACTCCGAATAACTGCACCAGTCCCATTATTTTTTCAAATACACTACGCATTATATTTGGTGTGAAAAAAATTGCCATTTCCAAACTCAAAGTTAAAGTTATGTTAAGCATGATTTTTAAATAACTTCTCTGTGATGCTGACAGTTGCAAACTACCATTTCACTCGAACTGACTAAACCAACCACAAATAATTCAATCTGCCAAACCACATGCACGGCGTTATTCAACTCTTATAAACAGAAAATAGTTATACACTTACCTGGAAGAAATGTTTTGTTCTACTCTGTTTATCCAATGACAGAAATGTATCATATGATGGCATCGCAGCATAGAAATCTGTAAAAAAAAATGTATTGTTCTTACAATTCACATTTAAAGTAATGCTATCACTGCACAACTGCAAAGTTCAGATTCTCAATCACAGTTTCTTTTAATCATTTTTGGACAACCTGTTAATTAAATAATCGTTGCGGTTATTCATGCTGTTTTATTCAAAAGAGGCTCAACAAGATAACTATACTGAAGTTCAACAGTAGATCTGTTGAAAGATAATCATAAACCCACCTTCTTCACCTACAGGTTTATCCTGTGAATCATTATCACCTTCCACCAAAGAATTGTCAAACAACGCTGTGGCCTTTTTCATTATGAACTGTTGAAGTTTCAGCCTCTTACCCCTGTCCTGAAAACTGAAAACAAAACACCAAATTACAGTTTTGATTACTAAAAACAAGTACAGCCATTTCTTCTGACAATCCTTTGCAACTGTAGTGATACCTGACATTTCCCATCCTTCTCTAATTATCTTCATTATATTCATGACCAGCCACTCTGCAGGCCGTGACACTGCGAGAGAACACGTTTTGCCGACTCCATCTTTCCCATTCTTCCATTAACATCCAACACTGCCCATCTTAAAGCTATATTCTTGGCTAAAACTTTGGTTTTTAGCATTTTCCTAGTGATGTGCATTTTAAAATACCACAGAATTCTTCAAATTCCTCACTGGTAATTATTTTATTATTTATAATTATAAATAAAAACCAGTGTCTGCAAAAAAACTCCAAGACTTTAATATTTTATTATTCAAAGAATGTTTAAGGAACAGCTGAAATATAAACCTGATTGAAAGAAAAGTTTAAAAATCTTAAATGTGACACCTAGGATGCAGATTATTGCGTATTCTGGTCCTCGGGTAGAATTATACTCAATAGCATCACAAAAGTGTCCAGGACAGAAAAAGCGATGTTATTAAGCTATTCATCAACTTCCTACTTCCTTCACCAAACTGTGCACACAATACTGAAAACACCCTGTACTCCCATTCAAAACTAATTAATTGTTATATGAATCCTGTAGATCTCATCCCTACCCTGAACATCTGTTTTAAGGTCAAGACCCACCCAACTGAAGAAAACTTTGCCACTGTGAAAAAGTAAAAGAAATATATATAAAGATACCAATATGACCAAGATAAATTGTCCATGGCGGCCACTCTGACACACACAGTGGGCCAGCCGTGATGGTGCTGAGTAAGTGCCAATACAAATTACGTATAACTTCAGAGCAATAATGAAAATATATCTCTTTTGTGATTTGTCTACATAAGAATCACCAAGAAAGAACATTTCATGGATGCTGGCCACTGTTCAGATAAGAAATATATTCAAGACTCCAGGGCTGGTTGTATTTGCAGGAAGAAGGAAAAAGTACCAACTCAAAAGAGGCCTCTTATCAATAGTGATAAGAGATGGCTTTATCTAACAAGACCTTTACTATAGTGATAAGAAATAGCTTGATTTACACTTTCATCCACACATTTCTATTCAGTTGAGCAAGATAGAATTTTGCACACTTCCTGCTTTGCAGCGATGGGCAGCAAAGCAGATTATACTGCCCCGAAAACAATCTACACTGCCAACAAGTCATGCTAATGTTATAACATGCTCACCTCAACTGTTTCTGCCTTTGTTGATAAACACTAAAATCAATTTCTTTCACATTGACATTAATCTTCGCCAGGTCAGCCTCTCCTCTCTCACTATCCCACAGCTTCTGCAATTGTTGCCCATGAAAATTAAGTGCACGAGTGATCAACTCAGCATTCATTGAAGATTCCATGCCTTGTGTACTTATCTCTGTCTTGTATCACAAGATGTTGATTATTCACAAAAGACTGAAAAGAAAACTACAATTATTATCTACCTCGTATTAAACTTAACACGGATTCTATTACAATTATAACGGTTCTGCTACAGATATGTGAAGAAGCTAAATTGTTGGATGAAGAAGCCGTTGATGTATGTTTGAACATCATGATGATGCACCAGTTGTCCCCCAGTTCACTTACAATCAAACAGTCAACATCATAATGCATCCTGATATAGGTACCGATGATGTAGATAATAATAATAATGAATAGAATGAAATTTATTTACATTCCACAGATCCTTCATAGGCCAAAGCCAAGGATGTAGAACAGGTCATAGCACAAATACAATACTTCGTTTCTAGTACAAATAAAAAATACATAGTTATAACAGCTATTGATAGATTTTTGGAACTACAGTATTACAAAAAAATAATTATGATGAGAACCATCACCATTATTGCCTACATGTATTTATAAATTCTTCTACTGAGTAGGAGTGAGATAGGAGATACTCTTTTAACTCTGGCTTAAACATTTTTATATCGTGGTGTTAAATATAAAGAAAAAGATTTCTACTGATAAATGAGTCAGCTTACTGAAGGACCAATTCTTGGATTGGAACAAAAAAGTTTCATAACTAAGCAAGATATCATGTGGATGTGTAAAATACAAGAGATTTTGGAAAAAACAAAAGCCTATATACATAACTGTTAAATTTGCATGACATTTTCAAAAAATTGTAGACCATACTAAGTAAAGTGAAACTATCGACCCTCAATGTTCAACACCCTCAGGAAACTTATATGCTACCAAGTCCTCAAACAAGATGTAATCAATCACAATTACAAGACATAAGTTAGGAGATACTTTGGGAGTGTAAGATACAATGGCAAGCATCTGAAGACTGAAGAATTTTTGTTTTTGCATAATTTAGTAGACTAGGGCAGAACGCTCCTTTCGGAGCTCCTCGGAGGGGTTGGTCAAGTTTTTAAAAAGCAACGAACCCCTTCGGGGGGGGTTGTGTTTTAAAATCTTGTGTAAGAAACTAAACTAAACCCCCCGAATGGAGGTTTAAAACACTTGACCAACCCCCTTTCGGGGGAGCTTGATCAAGTGTTTAAAAAGCAATCTTGAGTAAGACACTAAACTCGGCACTGTTGATGACGTAATTTATTGACGACAACGAGGAATCACAAATTTTTATAGTAGATAAAGCATGCAACAAAAATCTTTATTATTCATTTAGTCTGACATAGAATTCCTCTGCATAACAATCCAAAATCTAGAAAACACAAATCCAAAAAGGCCAAGTTCTCAGGCTTTCTGGATATGAGGTCTGGTACCATACATACACACACACACACACACGGCTATATAATATACACGTAGTGCAGTGTAATTTTGCAAGTTGCAGGCAAAGGTCATGCAAATGCTGTGTACTAAACTTGTTATGGTATTTAAAAATTACTGTAACACCTATCAAAGTCCAATTTATAAATGTGTATATATATATATATATACATACACACACACACACACATACATATGTGTATGTATTTTTATACATTGAACTTGGTAAGTGTTGCAGTACTTCTGTAATTTTTAAATACAAAACTAGTTAATTACACAGCATTTATATGACCTACGTTTACAACTTGCATAATTACACTGCACTACGCTTAAACTAGCAAATACATTACGTTATATATAAGTTCGATGGAATGCAACAGTAACGTCAAGTTTATCCAGTAACAAGTTATTCTCATCCAAAGTCTAGTATCATTCAGAAACAATTTATTTCAAAATTCCATTCACGAGCATTGATTTCTTATGCAATGAATATGGCGGATATCCTTGAACAAAAGGCTGATAGAGAAACAGCTTTTTGAGAACGAAGTAGCTTTAAGAACAAGAAATTGTACCTAAACACGAGAACATTAATATTAATCAAACTCCAAAATATACTTATGATTAAAAATGTAATCGAACTGCAAGCTATTTTTACAGATAATGTAAATTCACTCTAACTTACCATTAAGACGATCAACAACGAACATTACCAAAATGGAGAAACAGCGTCGGATCAATCCTCTTACAGATATGCAACTTGATGCTCATAACTGGAAGTGTCGCATTGTGCCATCTATTAGTCAGTGGCACGAATTAGAGGTACAAAAGCAAGGAAATTTCCGTTTGTGTAGTTAAAATAGCATGCTCCCCTAGTAGGTGTCGCTACTCACGGCGGTGAGCGAGGTTGTGATAATAACCACACTGGTAAGAATGTGAACTAATATTACGAGGAAGAAGTAGTCCGTAAACTAACTTTACATCAGCTGTCCATTACGTTATATCTATCACGTGTTGTCGCATAGTACACTGATAAAATTATTTATTATACACATACAGTGGAAACCGAGTTTATGTTCCGGTTGTTTTGGGCGAATGATGACATAGCTTCCCAAAATGGTGTATCTGCTTTGTTTGCGTCTCCAAGTGCCTTGCACTTCAGCCAGTAGATGGCAGCTGGAACTTGATTTTCACATCCTCAGTACATAAAGTTTTATGTTAATAAAAAATAGTATTTTGAAATGCAGAGGATTAATTTTAAAAACGTTTCTTTCTCTTTTTCATGAAGTGTAGGTGGCTTCCTGTCAGTCGGTTCCAGACAACTTTTATTCCGAGAGTCATTGACATAATTTTTGCATTCAAAAAAGACACATAATCTACTGCTGATTTGATCCACAATTCCTTCCCTCACTCTTAGTCCTCTCGGCCTTCAAAACATGCCATGATTAATTTTAAAACCCCGATGCTGAAGAGTGGAGCCCTGAATAGTATTTCGTACCATGCTAGATTTCTACAGTTAGCCCCCACCCAACACCATGTTGGAGCACCACTCCCTGTTAATTGGTTTAATCGGTCTCACTTTATTTGCATTCAACAGACGGAAAAAGCTCCTCAGAGACATGAGAATCGCCTCAGAAATTACAAGCATAAATTTTTTATCTGTATGAATCTGAAGTCCTCTTGCTGGACCACTGTAAACTGGGCCTTTGTATATAGTCAGAAATGCTGATAACATTTGAGGTTGTAAATTTTCAGTCATAAATATATTTTATCATGGATGTTCGTATTCATTTGATTGTAAAGATACGATTATTAATTTATTCTGAATCGGCTTAAAACAATCAATTAATATTCTCCGTCAGCTTCAAGCGTTATTAATTTCAAGTATATGAACAGTTTATTTATGAAGAACAGATGTTTGAGTTTTATTTCTTTATATATTTATGGCTTATTTAACTACGCTGTCTGTAGTTGAATCTACTTAACGTCGAGTAATCGGACGAATAATTAATTGGAAATAATATGAAAAGAAACGGTTTTAGCCTAATTTAATGTCATGTCCCTGAATTTGACTTAAGTTATTGAGGTAAAGAGCCGAGATTAAGAAAAAAGTGGATTTCTCTCCATTCCCTGTGTTTTCACTGAACAGATTCATTATTTCTTAGCAAATTGAATAAGCGTCTTTCAACATAAATATACTGAATTCATTGAGACTTTAAAGAGCGGGACAACTTCTACGTGACAGTACACACACGTCCAGTGCTGCAGCGTTTATCAAAATGAGACGGAGAAAGTGTAACTTGCCTCTGGGTACACCGTGAGTAGATGCATTTCATGAGCAGGGTCGAGGTCTTGAGTGACCCACATTCGGTCAGCTGTTTGGTGGGACCCGAGCGTCGTCAGAGACACGTACAAACCAAGGAACTGCAAGTGTAATGAATTCAAAATTCAGATATCACGACCAACTAATATCGTTCATAATGTTCGGCGATTTATATACATAGCTGGAACTATGATTTATGGTTTTGGAGTAGCCTCATACATATTACGTTAGTCTCGTGCCACTACGCCATGACACATATTCATATTTCAGATGGGTAAGACTACCTTCAGATATCGAGGGCAGTTGCCAATGTACTGAACATGGAGAAGTGCAGTGGTACTCCAACTTGGGGCTCGGGTGGAAGCCAACAACCCCCCCCCCTCCATTCCGTAAAAATCTAGAATGTTACGAAATTTCTAACAGAGCTCCAGACTTTTGATGGACTAATCAACACAACAGAAATTGAGTTAGAATATTACTTCTTTGGCACAGAAAATTATGAATATTTTCTACTACACTATGACGGGTAATAACTTATTTTGGCTACATGAACTTACTTCCAAGAGAAATTCACTCGCGACCGTTTACAAGGTGCAAGAACAACCCATTTGACTTATTCTTTTCCTTGTTGTCGTTCATGAAATGAAGATCATAACTATGTATCATCCTAACATTTCTACATTGCTATATTGGAGGAACTGTTCAATGACTTCAATAATCTGCATGCGATGAGTCAAATTTCGGTATTCATAATTAGTTCTAATCATAAGGATATGTAAATTTAACTTGAAATAAAAATGGAAAAGGCATGTTCTTGTGGACACAGCCTTTACGTCAACAACATACAAAGCAGAGTGAACTACAACTGCTTCACATGAAAGAAAGAATCGAAGAAAAAAGCTCACAGAGTTTTCGAATGGACCAAAATACAGCATCTTTAAGAATTTTATTCGCCTACTGCACAACAGTCAAAAGAGTAGACCTAATAGAATCTCGCAAGGTAAGACAGCAACGGATTCCATAACTCTTCCTTCCTTCTTCGGTCTACAGTACCCTTTGTTGTAGATAATTTCTAAATCCTTGTTAATACAAGTTGTAGGACTCCTTGGATGGGGGATCAGTTCTATCAAAAGCCTTGCAGTATAACCTAATGGAAAGTGAAGAGACATTCGCTCTCCGAAGAGATTCTAACCAGCAATGTCAACGTGTAGGCGTCTCGTGCGGTCACATGCGCCGACAGGACATATACAAAAAAGTCGAACCTAACAGTGAACAGTTTCACTATTTAATTTTTAGAAACAGCTGTCAAGTGATGCTTCTGAACTTTGACTTCTAACCCTTTAAAAGTACCTGGACATGAAGTAATTTCACTGGTCACACTAACAGGTCAGGGTCAAAGTGAACTTGTGCCCTCAATAGATCTATGGCCCACTTCTAACCACCATGGTAAAGAGGAGTTTCAGAAACTCTAGTACATCTTACGTATGAATCATCAGAATTTAGCCTACGCTCTGTGTAGGCAATCAGAGTAATATATCTTAGCCAAGGAAACAGAAACTTAAAAGAACTTCATTATTTTAGGCTGGGTTTTAAAGAAGAGAAATGCGACCCTCATAATATATGATGCCATCATTTCTCGCGCATCGATGTCTCTTAGCAGTGAGAGTCAGATGAGAATGTAACCTGTAGTAATGCTATCTATGCACGTAAGTGGACAACGAAACTAAATAACTATTAATTTATAATTCTCGAAGAATATTTTAATAAAGTGGGCATAGGACGTGAATTTTAAAAATATCTTGCTGGAGAATGAAACCAAATTATGTCGAATTTGTGTATTAGAAACATGTTATCTTACTGAACTAAATCGTATTCGAAATATAATATTTCGAACTATGATATTATCATAAAGAACAGTTATGTAGCCAGATTGAAATATGTTTTGGTATAATTTTTTTTTCTTGGTGGAAGATTAAAGACAGACGAAAGCTAGGTAAGATTTAGGATTCTTACGGCGACGAGTATTACGACAACCATTCTCAGAAGAAAGTTAAGCTGTTTTGTAGCTGAAATGGTCTTTACGTTTCGGTGAAGCTAATCTTCGTGTTCATTCATTTATAATTGACAGATTCAAATCCATTAAACAGTCTATAATAATTATACGGCAAATTATGAAAGAAGAATTTCACTGTCACAAAGATTTCTCTCGTGATTTCGTTCTATACAGGAAAACATATTATTAATTAAATATACATGGACATAATTAGTTTTCACTAAATTAGAGGTTAGATGTGTAAAGAAACAAATTGCAGATATTCGTGATGCTGTCGTCAGACAAATAAACTATAATTATGTTTTACTTAAACTTCAGTAAGAAACTTGTACTCGTAGTAATTCATAAACAAACTGCATCCGACTGCACGGAATCGATTTATGGACAAATGATACGTATTTGAGGGCTGCAAACCGAAGACAGGTGCTGTTCTCCAGAGCCGCGAACATTTAACTTGCACCTGTAATTATTCTGGATATGTTGTGAAAGTGTAGATTGGATTAATCTACCTCATAACAGGGTCCAATGGCTAAATCTTGCGAAAACGGAAATGAATCTTTGTGTTAGATACAAGTCTGGGAATGTCTTGACAAACTCAGCTGTTCAGTGTATAAGAAATGGCCTTGCTGCATGAGTTAGTCACTCGGATTACTTATTTGACATAAATTGCACTTGTTGGGTTGGAACAAATAACCATTACATTATTAATTTCATAATTTGGTACAGTTTCTGTCAGGAAGTCTCGCGTCTTTGAGCAAGAAAAACTGCTTAAAAAGCCGAGAGTTTTCTGATTACTGTTTAATATGGCACAAGTGTTATAGACAAGAGAAACAACAGAAAATACACATATTCTTAAAGAAGAAGATACCATTGCCATTTACACAGAGCCATTCTGTAGGCTGCATGTAACTGCACGTTGAAAATTGATAACGAGAACCACGAGTATATGCGTCAGAAAATAGTACTACGAACGACCTTGAAAAGTTTGCGGCCTCTTATTCTGAAACAGTTTGTGTGATCTTGTCGTGGTCTTTCCATGTAATTGAACCATACGTGACCTCATTTCAACATGAGTATAGTCAACCAGTTATTTACGGTTTGGGGGAAAAGTTATGACCTTGAAAATTTTTAAGATCTGTATGTCGCAAACTATTCGGCCGATCTTGTTGTGACCACCATATGACCTTGAACTATACATTTCCTCATTTTGACATGAGTATGGATAACCAGCTATTTACCGTTTGTCAGATATAAGCTTGATAATATATGACCTTGAGAATTTTAAAGACCCATTTCTGGGAAAATAGTTGGCCGATTTTGTCGTGACTTCCATATGACCTTCACCTTTACATGGCCTTATTTTGACATGAGTATGGTTAACCAGCTATTTATCGTTTGGCAGTTATAAGTAAGATAATATATTGACCTTGAGAAATTTAAGGACCTGTATCTGGGATACTATTTGGCCGATTATGTCGTGACTTACATATGACCTTGACCTATACATGACCTCATTTTGACATGAGTATGGTTAACCAACTATTTACCGTTTGGCAGATATAAGCATGAAAATATATGACCTTGAAAATTTTAAAGACCCGTATCTGGGAAACTAGTGGGCCGATGATGTAGTGACTTCGATATGGCCTTGACTAAAACATGGCCTCATTTTGACACGGGTATGGACAACCAGGTGTTTACGGTTTGGGAGACACAACAGTGATAAGATATGACCTTGATAAAATTAAAGACCCATATCTGGGAAACTAGTGGACCGATCTTCTCGTGAATTCCATATGACCTTGATCTTTACGTCACCTCATTTTGATATGAGCATGGTCAACAAGGTATTTTCGGTTTGGCAGAAATAAGCGTCAAAATATATGACCTTGAAAATTTTAAAGACCTCTCTGGTACATAACCTAATCTAATCCAACACTGATGTGACGTAACCTAAACTAAACTAATCTAAACTAATCCAAATTAACCCAAATCACCTTAACATAAATTAACCCTACCTAACCTAACCCACCCCAACCTACCCAACCTAACCTAACCTAACCTAACCCAAACTAACCTAACCTACCCCAACCTAACCCAACCTAACCTATCCCAACGTAACTCAACCTAACCTAACCCAACCTAACCCAAACTAACGTAATCTATCCCAACACCATGTGAGCACTGAGTATATATTGTGACCTATATATGACCTTGACATATCTATGACCGCTAAATGTTGACTGCAATGTCACTCAGATTCGTACAGTTCTCTATGTAAATGCAAGAAAGTTTACGAACATTTTACAGAAATTACGTACATAAAATGCCTATTGCATTTTCTTCAGTGGACCGGCTACTTCACTCCTACTGAAGGAAACAAAAATGCTTCTAGTTTACTCAATTACAGATTCAAGCTGCCAGTCACACGTTACTTTCTTTCTGTGCCCAGTAGCTTGCGGAGTCATCAGTTACCTCTGATTAACTAATATAACGTAGTAAAACGAGCCTAGGAACTAGATTTTAAATTACACTGTCTACAGCAAGTGCCATATGGCGCGTTTCTAACAGGAGACAGGAACGTAGCATCAATGTTACAGGTACTGTTTTACACATACAGACGGTTCAGTGAAAGTACACCGCGTTTGGATTCGGAACACAGTAACCTACCTGCAAAAAACAGCTGTTTAATACTCACACCGCGGGACATTGAACCCCCATACCTTACAGAAGGCGATCTATTGTGTGACACTTAACTACACTTGTATTCGGACGACTAAATACATGCGAAAATGTAATTAACAGTTCTGAACGACAACTGATTGTGTAAGAGAAAATAAAAACGCATAATCCTATATGTTGTACTATTAGAGAAAGTGTGTTCTGAAGTGAAAATTGTTAATAAATATCTTATAATAATTAATTATATTTAACGAAGTTTTAGGAAGTGTTATCTGGCGTAGAATCGAAGTGTGTTTGTGAATTATAACTTGGGATGATGTGAAAAGAAGAGATCGTGGCCAATATTATTACCATAGCATGGACTTTGACGAGACTGAGCAAATTCAGATCTCTTCACTCAGGTTAGTCGGAATCTCGATTCAAAATAAGTCCGAGATTTCTCGAATAAGATGCTGGGGTGTTAAAAACTCGACCAAAAAGCCAGTTCAGTTATGTCTGCCTGTTTACGTTGAAACCTTTAAAAGCATGTGTAGAAAAAATAGCAGAACACTTTAGGTCACTGATTTAATGCAATTTGTTATGGTAGACGCAACCATAGATAATATAATCACTGTGGTGTTTTTGAAAAGAGGGTTAAATATAAATGTGATTAGAATTACGTAGTTAATTTAAAATTAAACAAGACATGTGAGTTATGGGCCTGAGGCGAAATCATAAACAAACATGTATGATACAACAGTGACGTTGAACGTTAGACAGTTTTATCTTCAGAAATAACACCGAGATACTGAAACTAACAATATCTTCTTACTTTAAACATAAAATTTTAATATCGTGTCCACATATTTCGATGTTCTTAGCTTCATTAATTCTGAAGTTGGCTGTACCTTCTTAGAACTATCCATTCCATTCCAGCGAAGCACAAAAATTTCTCTATGTTTGGGCCTACACACTCGTAGAGAGTTTGTGACATCAAGACCCATTCATAGCGGAGTAAATCAAAGTCATGAACATTGAATTGAATATCTCATCGAATGAAACCGCAGATTTGAGTCGAGGAACCAAACAAGCGGTTACGTTAAAGGTTTCATAGTGACGGGGGTGGGGTGCCTACATCTGACACTTCCATCCCACTTCATACCTGGGGGGAAATTACCCATACGCAGTTTTAAAGATTATTTGATTTGAGCTGTTGTAAGGTAAAGGAGGGAGAACAGACCATATTGCATGTGAAAGTCTATGTTCCCTTGCATGGAGTTTGGAAAAGCGAGCCTCATACTGTATAAAGATGGAGCTGTCTCGTTAGACTTATACAGTAGTCAGACGTCTGCGGAGTTGGTGGCGAAGCTGTAAGGAGCTATACAGAAACACAGAACGCAACATGACAATCACATCAAAGGTAAAATGTATGAACTTCGGTAAAAGCAATTTTGGAGCTAGTGTCGGTGCTTATAGATATTTTAATTCATTGTAGTTAGAGTGTAATGAGGATAGTGAATATACTGGAAAAGACTCCTGGCAGAACAGGATATGCAATTCACGATTCACGGCATAATTCCCAGATGTAATTACAATTTTATTATCTGAGTATGTACACTTTTAAATAATACTCCTAGCTTAATTGTTACTCGGGCACTATAAATAAACAAAACATATGACAAAATAACAGTCTATATAGCATGAAATAATTATCTCATTGAAATGTAGCTCTAAAACATTTTTAAGGTTGAACCGAAATAAACATAACATTTTGGCATTCAGTGCTTACCTGTTACATCACGAGTCAGTTTAAACCTATATTTTTAGTGCATGTTACTTCATGTGGCACTTCAGTGGTTAGTATTCTTCTGTAGTGTTTGGGACGTCTCGGAATTGGTGTCCAGGTACCCTGCCTGAGTACCATCGAAGGCCTCCGCATGCTGTCCATAAAAATACTGGGATAATACGTTGAAACAGGCTACAACTCTTGTCTTGGTTAATTTGATCACTTCATCAATCGGTCTTCATGTAATTCAACACTGTATAACTGATCCATCTGAGGAAACGTCATTGAACAAACTGTTTTTCAAGCTCGTCCTTCATGTATTGCTTGTTCCTGACAAGTTTAAAATATATATTCTTCATGGCGTGTACTTTCGTTTATTTTTAACAACAGAGAAGCTAAAGGTTAAGCCCTGTTACTCATACCTGGAGAAACAGCACGAAACAACTGGTTACAAAATTTCACCCGAGGGTCTGAATATGAACCCACTAACATGTTTCATTTCGCACCTATCAAGCTGAATAAGAAGACAATAATTCAAAATATGTATATAATTGAATATTAAATGACGTCTTTACGTCTATTTTGTAAGTGCTGCTATCTTCAGGAACCTTCTAGAAATACATCTAAAGGAGATAAATGCCAGAAAGAAAAGAACTAAGGGATATAGGTACAAGAAAATTCTAGTTGAATCACTGGCGTATTATTAATACCACACAGTTTCTACAATGAATGTAAGCCAATACATAATTGTCATCGTTTTCAGAAATTTCTAAGAAAACTTCTGGAATCATACGTGTCACTAAGCGTTCTAATATTAATCTCAAGTAATCATGCAGCCGAGATCGAAGGACATTCGCTCAGAAACCAAACCGCATTAGAAATTCCAAACACGACCATCACTGACAGATATACTAGATTCCTTCAAGAACCAATAGTTGTAAACGCAGCGACTACAAAGAAAGATGACAAGAAACCTAAATCACAAGCAAGTGGCGATAATCTGCAGAGTTCCAGCTCTGAAGCAAAGCGCACGGCCAAGTCTCCATTAGTTCTCAGACTCCTTCAGGAACAAGAACCGACAGACATCGGCAACCAGTTAGTCTACTCCCCGGTACCAGAGCAGCAGCTCGGACCGGAAGAGAAGTCTCTGTATTTTCAGCAGACGCCCCAGGAAATTGCAGCTGGTGTTCCGGAATATGCAGAGGCGGAAATGGAAACACTCACCCACAAAGCGACTGGGGTAAGTGTTGATAGTTGCTCTGAGCGGCGTTTCTCCAGTAATTTTCACCCTTCTTCATGGCCGCAAGACAGTAAAACGGGGATGATTTATCTCCGTCTTTCTGAGGTTCGAAGTTGACAATGTAAAGAACCAGATTGAGAATTCTAATTTCAAAACACTGATGACGCCGTGGACAGAACATTGTGGCCTTCATTTTTGAAATTGTACAATTCGATTAATCTAGCTGGGCTTTCCCGATTTTTACTTGTTTATAAACAAAGTGACCATAGCCAATAACACTCGTGCAGACATACAGTCCAATTAGTAAAATAAAATAAAAGTTGGTTTAATTCTGTCGCAGCTTTCAAAGCATCTATGTAAATACAGAATAATTATTCTAAGACGAAGATCAGTGCTATTAGCATCTTCTGATTTCTGGGTTTCCCTCTATGTGTGGAGCCACCCACTGGAATTTCTCTTGAAAATCAAGCGACTATAAGCTCCTCTAGACAGCCTTTGCTCGTTTTAGTTATAACAGCAGAGTCACTGGTCACAGACAACTTTCTGTAACATCTTACATTATAAAGAATAAAACTAGTATTGAACTGAAATTATTTAGGTAATTCTGTAGCCGTAGCAGAGGTTGGTATCAACAAACAAACTTCAAATTTTATGTGGAAAGGTTTTGTTATGACGGCGATGAGTATGAAGGTGGCTGAACTATGGAATATATTATCGTGGAGTCTGATAGATACTGATCGACATTTCAGAGATCATACTGCCTCCATCATCAGCAACTCTGAAAAGTCGGTTAATATCTACCAGACTGCATGGTGCTACATATCAGCATATAGCCATCATTAAAAGCCTATGTGAAAAATAACAGCATCTTTACTTTGGAACATCGGAAGCAAACAATTTTTAAATTAGATATCATATCAGTAAAACAACTTAACAAGTTTATCCCATGACCTTGAATTATTTGAGCTGCCCAGCCAATGGATGTGTTCTTTGGTCTAACGGAATCCAAAGATCTTTTGCTGTGTTCATGAAAGTCGGCAGCTGAGCCGTGACCTACAGACACTTGAATTCAGGCCACACTCTCACATCCTCCTCATTTTATTACAACCAATCATCCCACACACGACTAAATCTTACCTCGACATCGTCCAACCGAAACAATTACCGGTATGCATTTCTCGGTGCGAATAAATAACGCAAACTTGTTTATGCTCCAGCTTACTAATCCGCCACGTTACCAGTACGTGTACAAAGTGAAGGATCCTGAAGGTAACGATTTCGGCCACTCCGAAGCGAGAGTGGATGGCCGAACCTGGGGGAATTACTTCGTGCAACTTCCGGACGGGCGTCAGAAGACAGTGCACTACTGGGCAGATGCCACGGGATTCCATGCCGAGGTTGAATATAAGGGTCATGCTGCACACCCCTCTGGAGAATAACAGTGACTCTTTCAAACCAGAAAACAGCTCAACCAAAGTAGAGGCACAGCGCTTCTGTTTTTATCCTGACAAAGATTTCGCTTTTGTACGCGTAATTACAGTCATTTCCAGTCATTAAAATAGCTTCAGTTCATATATAGACCTAATCTCTGTTCTAAATTATCAAATGAC